TAATTATTAATTTTTAAACAATAATTAAAACTCCTATATTTGTTTAAAAGGTAAATGTCATTGTCAGATGTCAATTGTCATGGTCATTCAAAATTCTTGTTAAGCTGCTAAGCTAGAATATGCGTGAAGTTAGCTTCACCATATTCTATTTTCTTTACTTGTAGTTTGTCTTATTCCCATCTCGCTCCGCACGCTATATCACACTGCCAATTTTGTGTCATAGTGCGCGCGCAATCTAAAATTTCACTCTCATCAATTTTTCATAACGCGCCTAAAGAAGTACAACTTCAAAAAAAAAAAAAAAAGAACGATGAGTTACTCCTCGAACGAAAAATGGCGATATGTTCTGTGGCTGTCGACCAATTTTCATATTAAAGGTGGTAAGAATATATGTTTTTATAATATAAATGTTTGTAGTATAATAAAACGTACCTACATCATCTATGCCCAAATAGGATTTTCTTTCTGTGACAAAGTTACCTTTATAGTAAGAGAAGAATAAGAATGAAAATCTTTTTTAGTTTTAATTTCACTACCATTACTTTGACAAAACTCTATGGCACGCTAGACAATCTACTTTTATTTTTTACACCTGTCAACACTGACAATGTTGTAACGTGGCTGTCAAAACGTGAATTCAAAATAGAAAAGTCTGTGTAATGTATTCCATCTCATTCTTTTACACGTTCAATCCATTTGTCTCTTTCTACACTAACGCCTCAACTTTTCGTGTTACACTTGATTTTACTCCTCATAAAATTTCCGTACCGGGCCTTATAACTCAAATCGTTTCTTAAGGAGTAAACTCCAAAAATAATACAAATACTCACTGATATCAAAATAAAATGTCAATTCGGGTCGTTAGTATAGAATATATAGCATATGTATTGATGCGTTATGATCGTAACTTATTTCCAAATGATTTCCTACACTTGTGAATCGTGACCGCTGACACGGAAAACTGTACTCGATCACAATATAAATAGATTCTTGTAACATACATTTTTATTCCGTATAACACGTGTATTGTAAAGTCTTTTCAATGTTTTGAAATGCTGGCCACCACACCCCACAAAAGTTGGGATTTGGGATTCACTAAAATCATTTTCTTTAATCTTACAAAAGTCAAAAATAATTTATTCATATAGGTAACACAATGTACACTTATGAACGTCAAAAAAGAAATATACATTACACAAATTTTTACATTTACTGGCAGTTCTCAAATCAAGGTCGTAGAACGGATAAGAAGAACTGGCAATGAAACAATATATCATGTACAAGAGTCTTGCTCTAGCGGGTCATCATCTCAATAGTATCAAAAAGGAATGATACTGGCAACGAAATAAACAATTTGATTATTCAAACAGTTGCCGGCTAGATACAAAAATACATATCGATCGACACTGTAACTTTTTTAATATGTATTATATTTTATATATTTCTTTATGTGCTTGTTTCAGACACAGCGGGAACCACGCTAGTAATTATTGTAATTCTCTCTAACATTCCTTAATGGGACATTCCGGGATATAGCGTTACGTTATGAGCCGTGTGTGAGTTAACCCTTAACCCTTATTGAAGGCACCCAATACTGCATTTTCCTTCTTTTCTTTATTTTCTGAAGCAACCACAGACACGCTAGTTCTTCAACTTCCATATTGAAACTGATCACTAATCGCTAACCGCCTCTGTTTGAATTGTCGTAATTTTTGAGCATCAGACCGCCATGCCTGAACTCACACAGGAACACTATTGTTAATTATCTTTAAGATTTCGTTTAAAAATGTTACTAAATTATTTTTGGTAATAATCATGATTATAGGAATCACGATTACTATTGACTATTAAATAGTTATACATCTAGTAAAATTGGTTCACCACTATCAAGACTTCTATATTGTTTATTTATAAGCTCTGTGACATATAATAATAATGGCAATTGACAGAAACGCCGTTCCTCCTACATTTATTTATTTGATTTTACATTTTATTTTACTGTAAGACATAATTTCTGTTTTTATGAATAAAAAAAAGCAGCTGTTATCTCGCTCTTACTTTATTAAATAATGTAGTAGGTAATTTACTTTTAATTATTATAACTTATATTTTTTTTTTGAGTTCCTACCCCGATACTTTTCACCTCCACATTAAATATTAAAATTTTACACTTACCGTCTAAAGCAATGTCAATATTTGTCATTGACAAAACGTTTTGACATGTCATGAAACTACTCGTGGATTTAAGTTTGACCGACGGTCAAGATGATAAGAGACCTTCGAAGACCTGAAAAAATTCTTTATTCTATGTAGGTTACTAGATATAAAAATAAAACGAATAAAATAATTTCTAATACAATAATATCAATAGTGAACTCGTAGGTCCGACTGCACAACTGCACACGTAACTTATAAAATCTCTCTGCGAGTGATAGAAAAATAACAAGCTCAATTTTGTTGACAAAATAAAAGGTTGTACATCGCTTTTATTTTATACGAGCTCTGTTTATTTTGTTGAGAAAAGCTTTAGAGAGCAGAGCTTTTTTGTTTGTTTGATAAAGTGAACATTGTCATACATTAGTGTGCATTATATCAACCGTAATTTTTAATTATCTTTTTTATTTCACATTAGATTTCAACAATATAAATCTTAAATTTTGCTTAAAGTTTAATGTAAATATGTTTAATATACACACAGTCTTAAATTACTGTAGTAGTTAAGATGTTGACATACAAACATTCAAAAAAAATATATTTCATTTCACGCGTATTACTTATATGAGTATACTGCTCAAGTAAGATAGGAAAAAAACGACACCATTGTACCCATTTCATTTAAACACCGGACTTTTTAAATAGATTATTATACCCTCCAATGCAACAGAAACACAAAAGATGTTTTATTTTACAAAAAAATGCTTTTGTTTCGTTAACATCGTGAACTGATGACTTATAACCTAGTTTACGAGAGCTTTTTGGAACGGCACTCCGAAATAACTCAAGTAGTTTTGTTAAAGTTTTTGTTTTTAAAACACCGGTGACCTTTAGCTTTTAAGGCCCGTGTGTTTTTGTAAACGGCGTTTCTATATGTATTTTACCGAAACCTCAGATATATCCATTTCGTCATTATGTTTAAAAAAAAAATATTGCACTCACTTAATGTTTATGATTATAACAACATTGCTTGATCTGTAACGATGATATATTTATCCTTTAAAAGGGTTCCTAGAAAACTAAACAATATCATTTTAATGTTATTATCATCACGATTGATTGATAAAGTCGAATAATCGGATTCAAACGACTAAATAAATAATTATTAATGATTTATTGAACTGATAATGAGATTGACAACTGTGATATCATTGTTCTATACTGTAATTATATTAAGTACATTTAATAAAATATAACATAAACTTTAATTTTGTAAATAATAAAAATCGTCACAGAACGACCAAAAATGCAGATTCAAAATAAAATGCCAGTTGGATATTTCAATATATATAATCTATTAGCGGACCCGGCGAACTTCGTTCCGCCTAACAGTCTAATAATATCGTGTTAACTTTAGTTAAACTTATTTTAGGATTCTATTAAGGTTGACATTAATACAACTTTTTTTGCAAATACAGAAATGTTTTATTGCTTGCCATTGCAAAAGAAGAATGGCAGTTTTACACATTAGGCCTCTTCTCTCTAGCGCCAATTTTGCGATACTGCATGTTAAAACATTTTCTGCTATACAACATTTTTTGTTTTGTTCAATCGGATCAGGCGCAAGAACAAAGTGTTAGGTTTCTTTTATTTGCGTAATTTTGTCAACAAATGGCGCCACATGCTGTTTGCATTCGTAAAATTAATTAATCATTTATTTTTATTCGAAAACTTATCCGATATTTTATTACTTATTCTGCCATTCGGAGCGGAGAAGAATCCACCAAAAAAGAGGTACCTAACATCGGTCCAGCCGATCTTGAGTTATGAGTGGTGTAACTAACACGACTTTGTTATATATATTTAAATTACCGTTGACTTATCGAAAGGGTATAGGCAGAATTAATTGTGATCAGTCTGGTCATAAAAATATAATTAAAACCTTATCTATATAATTGTTTAGTAATAAATTCGTTCTTATATGTGTTATGATAAAACAAAACTTCTATGAAAGCCTAAAAATATTTAAAAATTGGTTGTAAAGTACAGGTAGTACTCTATCTATATATGATATACCAAATACAATTCGATGTCTCTAGTTTTTAGACAGAAAAACATTATGCCAAGGTAATGGGACAAAAAGTAATCTTTAAATTATTTTCCTTAACGACATTACATTGACATAACATCGTGAATGTATCCTGACCCTTGTTATGAGACACCCAATCATCAATCCACAACGTCATTTGTCTTTGCTAACAATATGTCTCAGTTTGATAGTAAAACGGTCTTGTGAATGATAGGCATTAGCAAAGGTAAAGAATTTAAAATTTCCAAAAAAGGGGCCGTTCAAGTATTACGTAAGCATAAGTAAGCAAAGCTCTCAAAAATAATAGTTTTAATTTTTGTAGGAATCCTCGAAAATGCATTTCGTTTTTAAGCATAGACAATGTGTGGGTAATATGTGTAACAAAGTAAATAATTACTGTTGACGTAATCACCAAATAAGAAAATCAAAGACCCGCCTCCCCCCTGTACTGCTTACGTAATTTTGAACGATTAAGTTTCGTCCACAAATAATTTTTTATATGATCAGAAATATAATACTTGAATATACATGTCGGAGATAATCTAAAGAGGGACTTATTACTTCAATTGTGTCATGTAAATTAATGTAAGGTTAGAAGTAATTACCATGATAATAGAAATTAACAGTTTATAACGAGTATGAAAATTGTTATTTCACTTTTACGAGTTCTGTAATGTAGTTATGTTATGTCCTTGTTAAGAATTTTTTATTTTACTTATTAAAAATTGTTTTTGTGTTTTTTACATTTCGCCCTAGAATGATTTTAAAACGTTTATGGATATTAAATTTTATATTTATTCCAACCGTTTTGGTAGTTTGGAGAAAAATAAGCGATACCAACTCAAGACCTGTAATTCTCACTAAGAATGGATTGGTAAGGGGTCTTAAATCTCCAAACGGTGATTATGATATGTTTCTTGGTATTCCTTATGGAAAAGTAAGGCAAGAAAACCCTTTTGGGGTAAGTAGTATATGTTTTTGTATTTCTTACTGCAGAATAGTTTTCCGCAATGATTATAATATATTCCCGCAATGAATATTGCAGATTGCAGACCCCTATCCAAAATATGAAGGAATTTTCGATGCTGTTGATGACAACAACCCATGTCCGCAGTATGACGAAGGATTTAATTTTTTTGCTGGAACATTAGACTGTCTTCGATTACACATATATACGCCTAAAAAGTCAGAAAAGTTGGCAGTCATGGTTTACATTCATGGCGGAGCATTTCGTTATGGACATTCCGGATCTTGTAATGGTGAAAAAGATTATGACCCAGTGTATTTAATTCGCCACAATATCATTTTTGTTAGTTTAACTTACCGACTGGGTGTATACGGCTACATGTGTTTAGGGACAAAAGAGATTCCAGGAAACACCGCTATGAAGGATCAATTATTGGCATTAAGATGGATTAAGTCTAACATAGAGGCCTTCGGTGGTGATCCGGATAGAATAACGATTTTTGGGCATAGTAGTGGTTCTATTTCAGTAGATTTTCAAGTGCATTATCAACATGATAATTTGTTCCAACAAGCTATTTTACAGAGTGGAACAATAACAAATATGCATAGTTTTGGTGAAGCTAATACATCGCTGCCTTTTATAATGGCAGAAAACCTTGGATTTAAAACAAGAGATCTTGATGCTGCTATAAGGTTTCTCTCGAAACAAGACCCGTTGAATGTTATTAAAGCTATAACTCAACCAGCTCTACCCATATTGATTTTTCAACCGTGCATTGAAAAAATATTCTATGGAGTTGAACATTTCATTACAAAAAAGCCGTCTGAATTAGTTCCTAAAGTGAAGAATAGAAAATTTCTAATTGGAAATACAAATGATGAATACAGTATTGTTATTGGTAATAACCCTGATGAATATTTTGACGACGATCATACAATAAGAAAATATTTGAATTATTCGTTTAATTTTAATGAAGAAGAATTAAAAGGTGCTGTACATAAATTAAAACAATTTTATATAGGCAATGGTGAATTTAGCAGAAAATACAGAAGACAAATGACTGATTTATTTTCGGACATGGTTCATATTTATCCCACGTATAAACAACTTAATATTTATCATAAAAACGAAGCGACTAAGGTAATTTTACATATCTCAAGTAGTGTCAGTATCATATGGTACTGATAGTCACTAGGCCTATTCTAAAACTTTTCATTTTGTTATTGTTATAATACTTTCCAGGTCTACTATTATCTGTTCACTTATTCTGGAGGCCGCAATATGTACCGTCAACGTAATAATTTAACCCTAGATACCGCTATTCATGCAGATGAGTTGGGCTACCTGTTTCAAGACCTCCACGTCAAGTCTTCCAGCCTAGAAGATCAGCTTATGATTGATAGAATGACAACGTTGTGGACAAATTTTGCAAAATATGGGTATATATAATTTCTATACACCAACTCCTGTGCGCCGTTACTATATAGATAAAACCAATAAATGGGTTTTGATTCATTTTCAGAGATCCGGTACCATCGACATCGGAAATACTACCAACACAATGGGTACCTATTTCTGACGATAGTAAAGCTTACTTTCGTATAGATAAAACAACTAAGATGGACACGGAGTTCTTAGCAAAGAATGAGTTTTGGGAAGAATTCTATAGACAATATTCAAAGAATTTTAAATATTAAATGAAGCATACAATATTGTTATAAAATTTAATAAATTGTTATATATTATATCTACTTTTTTTAATCTTAGAAAATAATAGAATTTGTGTACGTAATGATTATAATGCCGAGGATATTCGTAATCGTTGTTTTTTCGTAAAAGTTGTTATTTCTATCAAGATGCGATTTGCTCACTGTTTTTCTTTTTAGTTTTCCACGCTTTATAGCGCAGCGTATTTCTATAAGCTAGTTTCTAGTAAAATAGTAGTTGATTACTAAATACTATAACAATACAATAACTGATACTTTATTACAAATTTCTTCAAACTATTCAAAAATAAATAGCCTTTATTCGGCCACGGTAACGAATCTCCATCGACGTTGGTCTAAACGCAGGAGATTTTTTATTCCCCAAAAGTCATACCCCGGTATTGATGGCCGATGCATTACAAGGTTAAGAATAATACCATAGAATTCTTTATATAGAATGCAATGTAGATTTTTAGGAGTTTATGTATGCGTGAACGTAATTCCGTTCGGGAAAGTAATTGTTGACACTTTAATACGCTTTTCTTTAATCTTTTTAAAACACTTGTGCTAGGGCCATAATTAATGTCATAAAAATTACTCTTAAATTAAGAAAGGTCCAAAATATGTAAGTAGTTGATTAAAATAAAAAGCTAAGTTCTGTAAAGTTTATTTTGTTTGTCAGCCGGTACGGTACTAATTCGGCTAATTATAATTAAAACCTAATAAAGATAAAAGTCAAGTGAAAACTGTTCGTCAGTTTGATAATATAATTAATGAGGTTAATTTTAAATACTTGATACGGAAATAAATTTAGCATTATATAACTTTATCGAATATTTGCCTAGTGCCCATATTAGGCTAGTGATTAAGCATGCGATTCTCAATCTTAAGGTTCTTGACATCGATATAACATTTTTTTAATAGAATATCTTGTTAACACCTACACTCGTATTAATCTTCAATGTTAATTATATTTATAAATTATATAAAAGCGTTCCGAAAATATGTAAAAATGTTTGTTGAAATCAAATATTTTTACATATGTGAAGAGTCGTAGTGTTTATGAAATATTTGAAAGCAGAAAACTTTTTTAGGTTTTTAAACTTCAAAGTCCAATTTTGAAATATAAAAAGTATTAATTTATTTTTATAAAGTAAAATATGAGAGATATGTTGGATCAAAGATAAGCTTCATTTCAAGTGCTCAACGTTGATTTTTTATTCATGAAATATTAAATTTCATTCTTGAAAAATCAGTTTAGGAATAAAGACACCCTTTAGCTAAGACCCATAGCCACAGATTATTGTTTCATTGATAATTGTTTTTACAGTACTTGGATTTTTGGGTCTATGATTTATTGGTTTTCTCAAGATTGTTTTAATGCACGGTACTCAATTGAATACTGTGCCATATTACCATAAGCTTAAAGTAAGTAGTATATTTGGTTTATTTATTGTATGTGTATGTTTTTTAAGATCTTTTAGAAAAAAATACAAAAGTATACCAAATAATTTTATTAAAATACTAGATTTCACATAAGTTTTGTACTTTTTTATAATTTTTGCAGGATTTTTATAATTTTCCTAAACTTTTCTGTAGTTAAATTACTACTCAATATTATTGTGCCAATACAGATGCAACCTCACACATCTTCCTACTTACAATTTAAACAGATAACCATTTTTATTATTACATCCATCAGCGGAAGTTGTCAAGAACAATGAAGAGAATCAATCCTTCAATGTCTCAATGTCTGTCTAGTCAATTATACTAGTGGGACAGAATCATTGTTAAAAAGAGATATTAAGGCGAGACAACAAATCTATTTTGAATACAGTTGGACAACTTCAATTTTAATATGAATAATTTTCATCACGTTAAGTTTATTGTATAGTATAATTTATTTATATATTTGAAAATATTTTATGATTATTGTATTAATAGTAAAATTATTAATTGGACATTAATCTATTATTTATTTAATGACTTGCATATAAAAATATAACGTTTTTTGTTTAATAAAACTTGCCCGTCATACTACCAATATATGGCAACCGCATAAATTACATTGCTTATCAGAAATTTAAATATGCCATGCTATTTTATACTGTTCATTAAAATAACAATCGAATAAAATTTACATTTAATTTTATGATAAAATTAAACTTTCACAAACACTATTTAAGTAACTCAAACAAAAATATTAACCTAAAAGAGTACAACTAAAAAATAATAAAAAACCAATTCAAACTCAGCCTCACATGGGAGTAATATCTTTTTTTTTTGTGAAAAATATTCAAGTTGACCCTATAGACGTTAATCCCTGCATATATTTCAAGCGTTTGAGTACAATAAACAAAGTATGGTACCACTGAAGCATGTGGGCTCTTTGTAAGTTAAATCATAGGGCGCCCACAGATTGTTCAGTGACATACACACGTAATTATATATATATAAAGATTAGGTTATAAAAAGTCAAAGTTATGAAATATAAAATAAAAAGTTTAATAAATAACTAAACATACCTTATGATAAGAATTCATACAACTTGTATATGTGCTTGTATTAAACAGAAGGATGTTTTAATCTAACTCCGTTACTGGTATATCGTACGCAGATGACCTGGCAAACGTCTCTTTGCATGTATATCATATAATGGGGTTGATCGTAGAGGGGTTAAAATTAGAGGTTGACTACCCTAAACCTTTTAGGGGATGAAAAAGATGTGGTGATTCTACCCAAGAAAAATTCATGGAACGTCAAGCCGTTTCGGAGGAGTTTAACTACAAGACACAAGGAGAATTTTTATATTAGATTTATAAAAATAAAGAAACCAAAATTGGGTTTTGATAACAAATTATTTATTATCAATTGAAGGATAGTTGAAATTCAATAATTTGAAAATGTCCGCTCTATTGTCTTTCTGTATTAAGGGGCCTTGTCATTGATACAAATATAATATTCTTCTTCAAGCACCGGTTTTCAAATTTTGTACCTTAAATTAGCGCTTATAGATGTTATGTCTTTAGTATACCTACTAAAATACGAATGTTCTCAAAAAAATTTGAAACTTAACAAATCCATTATACATAATACATAGACTTCGGGAATTGTCCTTTTCTCGTTCTGTCTGCAGGAGAAAGCATGATCAAGAATGCATCAATAATTTAAGTTATGATTACAAAAATCATTATAACATTGGTACTGAGTTAAATATTTAAATTTTTTAAATTATAATAAATTAATATTGATTCGAATAATCAAATGTTTACCTTAGTCTCTTTCAGATACAAGGTTCATTTATATAGCAGAAATTCAAGGTGTCAAAACAATGATGCATGTTCGAAAAGAGCGAATCGTACGATTATTTCTTGAAATTGAGGTTTATATTGGAAACGGGTATCTTCTGTAACTTATATAATACTATAATATAAAATACTTTAAAATATATTACGATTGTATTTATCAGTCAACGCTATAGATCAACCCCAAAATCCAGCCATGTCCATGTTATGCAATTTGCATTTAGAATCTCGGGACAAAAATGACTAACTTACTTGTAAATCACGAAACCACCGACGAAAGGGCAACTTTTAATTTGACGTTAAATTCGACTTCACTGTCAACTGACTTTATATATGTCAGGTGGCATTATCAGAGTACCAAATGTCTACAATTTTTGGGCGTAAGTGATTTGAGTGTTGGATTTTAGTTCCAAATGTAAACAATCTGCCTTGAGCGCCGAATTTGTGATAAACAATAAAGCGATTATTACAGAAAACCTCATCGTAAAATGACGTCACGAGTGATTTGAGAGCGGAATCCGCTATAAGAGTTTGAAAAGTGAATTACAGATTACGTGAAAATTAAAATAATATGTGTCGCCTATGACAATCAGATGTATACACCGCTATCTGGTTAAATGTTCTATCTGTCCAAACTACTTTATTTGTATCCACAGAACCCATATTTACAGGAATCAAAGATTCCAAATGACATTCAAACATTCTAAATAATTCAGTTGGATCTACTAATATTATGTGAATGGTTCGTTATTATAGTCATTACTAATAGCACGACGACGGACCGAAACACAGCCATTTTCACCGAACCCATCAATACTTATTTTGTAGTAAAAATCGTGGAATCGTATTACCTACAAAACAACATTCATTTTCACATAAATTAAATAACTGTTTAAATAACTAAATTCATAAAAACTTGGACACGAAACATATTCAGTTTTAAGTCTTTAAATTCTTAATTCTAAAATAATCAATTGTGTCATGTAAATTAATGTTGGCTAGTAGTAGCTAGTAATTACCATGATAAAAGAAACCAACAGCAGTACGTAAATTATGTCATTTGACTTTTAAGAGTTCTGTAATGTAGTTATGTTTAAAGTAGTTTCCTTGTTAGTTAAGAATTTTGAATTTTACTTAATAAATATTGTTTTTGTGTTTTTTACATTTCGCCCTTAGAATGATTATAAAACGTTTATGGATATTCAATTTTATATTTATTCCAACCGTTTTGGTAGTTTGGAGAAAAATAAGCGATATCAACTCAAGACCTGTAATTCTCACTAAGAATGGATTGGTAAGGGGTCTTAAATCGCCAAACGGTGATTATGATATGTTTCTTGGTATCCCTTATGGAAAAGTAAGGCAAGAAAACCCTTTTGGGGTAAGTAGTATATGTTTTTGTATTTCTTACTGCAGAATAGTTTTCCGCAATGATTATAATATATTCCCGCAATGAATGTTGCAGATTGCAGACCCCTATCCAAAATATGAAGGAATTTTCGATGCTGATGATGACAACAACCCATGTCCGCAGTATGACGAAGGTTTTAATTTTTTTGCTGGAACATTAGACTGTCTTCGGTTACACATATATACGCCTAAAAAGTCAGAAAAGTTGGCAGTCATGGTTTACATTCATGGCGGAGCATTTCGTTATGGACATTCCGGATCTTGTAATGGCGAAAA